TTTAAAAGAAAAAAAAAAAGAAAAATCTTTTGAAACTTAGGTAGAAAGTGACCGCTCAATATAAAAGTTGAAATAGGAGCTGTCGCGTGAAAAACTAAATACTATTTTTTTTTTGACAACATGATTTTGATTCTGAAATAAACATCTTCCCTGACATATCTTTTGAACATTTTCGAAGTATACTAATGCAAATGTAACGAGACTTAGTATTTTACCAACTACTACGACCAAGCACAGTGCAAACAAGGTCAACAGACATTTTTTAATCTTTTTATTTTTTAACATGTTTAATTTTTTCCTCCTTTCTTTCTTTCTTTTTTTTTTTTTTTTTTTACTTTTTTCTTATTTTGCTTTTTTTGCTGGGAAATGTCAAATCCACAGTGTGGGCGATTTTTGACCATGAAAACAACATCATAAAGGCGCTTCCTGTGTGAATTGTCAATTCTCCCACTTACATTTTCCCGCACCCATTGCCCAATGCATTTTTCCACGTGGAAAATGTAAAAATGATCTCCTCACAATATTGGTCGGTCACAATCGTCAAACAACTTATCAATATTCTTGAACGATAAAAATAACAAAAATGGTTTTATCTCCGTAGCACCTACATGTATACATGTACATACACACTAAAAATAACCTTATCGTAATGATTACCCTCTCTTCAATTACATTTTCAATGGAAGATATTCAACATTTATATTTTGGTAAAATATTCAAGCAATGAAATATCTATTTGTTTTAGCGGTTCAAAACGAGCGTCAGCCGCGCAGCACAGCACAGGTCCGCCAAGAAATGCTGGACTCCGAGCTGGTGCAATCTCTCACGCCAGGTGTCTCTGCTGTGTCCGCCACCCACCCAACGTTTTACGGGAGTCACCTAAGAGCAACAGAGGCCTCGTATTTTCCTGGACTTGTTGCCGTGGAAGACGGCCATACAAAAGGAAAGACCGAAAAGGACAAACGTATGTACAGTACCTTTCGCTTAATTTTGCAACACGTGCAGCCGTGTGATGCATATGCCTATAATAAAGTTATGACACTACGTCGATACATCAAATCAGTTGTGAACTCATTGAAATCGTATGTCATTAAAACAAAGCATTAGCGGTATTTAAATATACTTATGTAATCTTTTTTCCATTACAACGAATAGGGTATGGAACAAAAAATATGAAAATGTTCGATAATTTCTGTTATCAAAATTTTGTGTTTGCTTTTGTACTGTCAAGCTGTTACAATAACCAAAACTCATAATCTCTTTAGACATTGAATCAGATTCAAGAAAACCAGAAAAACGCGACCCAAAAGACAGTGAACGCCAAGAGTCCGATGATAGCCGTAGATACCCGAGTAGTCCGCTGCCGTCGGAGTCGGAGACCATGTACGAGCACGCTGCGCGCCTACTTTTCATGGCTGTCAAGTGGTCAAAAAGCCTGCCATCTTTCGCAAATTTACCTTTCCGCGATCAGGTAGTTTTTGATGCTTTTTGGTGTCATTTTTTCATCGTCGAATATATAAACAAATCACTTTTGTTGGCATTTTTGTTGTGATAACTTTCATCAAATATATTTATGCGAGACTTGTTTTATCACATTTTAATATAAGCCATTTGATACATGATAATTAGTTGAGGCAAGCACAATGTATTGATCAATGTGCGAAAAGTTTTTTGATACGCTTGTGCACAAAAGCTTTGTTTCTTTGTCAATTGTTTTAACGTTAAGCAAGAAAATTAGCGCAAAATCTTACGGGTTACACTTACAGTAGGTAGGCCTACCATAATCATCCATGGTATTAAACTTTATTTTACCACTTCTTCTGATTCGACACATTTCATTATCATTTGCAACTGTTTTGATAGAGTACTTGTATTTCAGGTCATTCTGCTGGAGGAGACCTGGGGAGAGCTTTTTCTGTTGTGTGCTATACAGTGGTCCATGCCTCTCGAGTCGTCGCCCCTACTCTCCGCGACTGAGCATGCGCAGACTGCCCATGGCCGGTGTAACGTCACCGCCCTGGCTGATATACGGACCCTGCAAGAAATTGTGGCAAGATTCAAGGCAGTGCAAGTAGACCCGGCTGAGTTTGCTTGCCTGAAAGCGATCATTTTGTTTCGGCCAGGTATATTAATCATATTTTCAAATTTTCCCCTACAGCCGAGTATTTGTAAATAACATGTAGACCAACATATTTTACTTACGTTTATAAATAACTAAGGGGGAGAAAAAGAGACTATCCAATAAAATTATGAATATAAAACCATTAGGTCATTTTCAAACAAGTGCTCAGGTGGCAATAATCCCAAATAAGTTCCGATTCGATTTCGACATCTCTGCATATAAATTGACAAAATAACTAAATATAGCAAACAGTAATCATTACTAGTTATTATATTTACCGACTTTAAATGTGATAAAATCCACCTGTGCGTCGGTATTTCAGAAACCAAGGGTCTCAAGGATCCTCAGCAGGTAGAAAGTCTTCAGGATCAGGCACAAGGGATGTTAGGGCAACACACACGTGTTCACCGCCCTACGCAGCCAGTCAGGTACAATCTATTATTATTATTGTTGTTGTTTTTATTACTATAATTATTACCTTCATACACACACACACACACGAGTACAGACAGACCCACACACACGCAATCTGTATATCGTTTTTTTGTTGTATTGTCACATTTGAATGAGTATTGCCGCTTTATTAATTGGCCAAGAATTCTGTGGTAAATAGATATTGAAACCGCCGTCAAATGCAAATAACGTAGTTCCGCAAATTTGTCCTGTTGCGGTTTCATTTCATTGTGGAGACTTGCGATTCTGTTAAAAAAGCATAATGATTTGGAGTGTTGTGTAGAATTTTCAGGATTTCTTTGATTACATTTTTTTTCTAAAAAATATTGTTTCAGATTCGGCCGCCTACTGCTGATGCTACCGTTACTACGTCTTGTCACCTCGAGTCGAATAGAAACCATTTTCTTCAGTCACACCATTGGCAACACACCGATGGAGAAACTGCTTTGTGACATGTATAAAAGTTAAAACTTTGCTCGGACGTTTTTTTTTCTTTGTTAACCATTAATAGCACTGAATGGCGATTTTCGTGTCGTTTCACATTGAGGGATATCTCATGTTCTTTAGTAGAAAATTGGCTGGTGAAAACCAAAATTTCTATTTTGCTAGGGTTACATATTGACACGCTTCGAGGGAAGAAAAATGAGATGATTTCTTTGATAATTCGGTCTATGGGAGCTATATGACCGAGACTATACAGAAGTTGTTAAAATATATCTTATTCTATATCTAACGTTTGTAAACCTTTTCATGCAGACTTTTCTCTCAATGCATAACAATTTTTGCGCAACTTCATTACCAATATGCCTAATATATTCAATGTTCGAAATATTTTTCTGTGGTTAATCCTTCATGCATAATTTTTATCCCAATAGAGCGATGCAGTTTAGCTAAGCAATATACATGAAAACAACAGGTACGCTACAAAGGTCGATACTTTCCGAATCAAAATGTCTAACGTGCATTTTGCAAACTACAACATTACAATATAGAGCGCATTTTTCCAAAACTGTAGTGGAGTCGAAACACATCTCACAACAGTACTGTTACAGTAATAACTAGTTCAGCAAATCATACTCAATACTCTTGTCATCATTTATTCTCTTCAAAGTTTTTTTTCAGATTCATTTTTTGAATCAAGGAATAGATCAGGCGGAAATACTTCTCCAATCTGCATACGTATATGCCGCAGTCAAGCTATCTTTGAGCAACCGGCTTTGAAGAAAAGAAAAATAAATCCAAGAATAAAAAGAAATTCAATCACTTGCTCAGGCATGCAGTTAATGCTCAATTCCTTTTAACAATATAATAATAACTCCTTGAAAGAATACATACTTAATTAACTTCTTCTCAGAGTTAATAACATTCCATTTTTTCAATATCTCCTTTTGAGCAATACGACTTCTGCAATAAACAGAGAAAGGTCTCCTCGGCAAAACTGGACCGAATATAAGTTGTGGCAAGGATGAACTTCAAGCATGACAATAAATATAATGACATTTTCACAAAGAGCTCTAAGAATTTATGGTGTCTGATGTCCACGGCTACACAAAGACTTATTGTTCTCAGAGCCCTATTCATTTCAAGTTACTTCCGATTTATTTTGATGAAATTCATTTCAAAATAAAACACATTTTACTATACAAAACATCCTTTCTATATAAATTTAATCTTTTTCTCATCCATGTACATTTTGACAGCACCTGTTAATATGTTAAATACCCACCTGCAAGCCTTACTCTTTCATCAAAAATATTATATATATATATATATATATATATATATATATATATATATATATATATATTATCCTTTTAGAGCATAATTTCCTTTCCTACAAAAATAAAAAAAATACAACCCATTTACATAAATCAAAGCACAGGTATAACAATAAACACTAAAAAATATAGAACACAACTTCCTTTTTAATAATTCTGTGATGTATATTATGAATCTGCTTAACATATCTTATTCTTTTAAAATGTTGACTGAGACTGCTTTGAAAACTTGTCAAAAAGCTCAATGAAACTGTTGGATAACAAGTAATCATATTTAGTTGATCAGACTAGTGCATCACAACAATTAGCCTTTAGACTAATTCCCTCTTTTCAGTCTACTTTCTCATGCTATCTATCAGTTTGTGACCTGGCACAGTGGCTTTTTAATACTGGCACATTTTCAATATATATATATATATATATATATATATATATATATATATATATATATATATATATATAACACCATGGTAATTACTCAATCTTTTCAATGGGCAAAATTTATCAGTCTTTCAGACACATAATTTTAGAATTATAAAAATGATATTTCTATAAAGCCATTGTGGTGCTTTATCTGCATAGAATTGAACTAAGACTATGACTAAGCCCATTTTTCAATTTTGTTCCTACCGCTCTATAAGAATTTTCTAATTTCTAAATTAACACTTAAGAAATAAGGTTTCTGTAAAATTCACTGTTTTCCCCACTGAAAAGATTGAATCATTTCCAAATATCATATTTCACATTTTGACAAAAAGAATAAATAAACTAGAGGATCAGAGNGGCCCTTACCGTCTAGGAGGAGAAGCGGTAACGGTAGCCGTCCGGCGGAGCCGGCGGAGCCAACGGAGCCGGCGGAGCCGGCGGAACGATCCGGACGGGACCGAAACCATGTGTACCGCCAGCGCTAACGCTGGTGGTACAATAAAAGAATAATATTGAAGACATTTAAGGTAAACTAATGAATCAAAGGAATAATTGGAATAATAAATTAATGAGGCATGATGCAACAAGAGATATTGGCAGAGCTATTTTTTATAAATGAATTACCAGAGGAAGGTATGCTAAGGATAATATCAGTTAATTTTAAGTGCTTTGAACTTTAGGAAAACTACTATAATTGTTCTGTATCATGACATGTTAAAATGAAAATTTCATTCAACCCCATTCTAAAAAAATAAAAAATATAATTATTGATAAAAATTAATAAGTATAATCCCTGCATGCTTAAAAACCACTATTTATAATATTAAAAACTGATATGAATACTAAACATGTAAGAAAAATAACATTAAGAAATGGAATGTCTAGAAGCAATAGAAATGTCCAAGTAACTACATTAAAAGGGACATACCAATACAATAATGACTGGAAAACTAAGATACCCTAATATTTCCACTACAACCTCTTTATCATGAAATTGAATTTTGTAGAAAATCAAAAAGTTAATTGATTTGCTCATGATAACTGATTCTTTTAAAATACTGATCAACACTATAAGTTATTAAGTTTATAAAAGAGCCCTGAGTTTCAATAAAGAGACACTATAAGTTATTCCTCATACATTTTCCTCTGCTTCAAATTTCCTTAATTTAAAGGAAAATACAATGAATGCAACTCCTCATGCTTTCTTTGGATTCAAGAGGTCACTATCTCTACTTGTTCATATTCCTGTCTGGCAAATGCTACAAAAACCTGAAATATAAAATTTTAAATATGTCTACGGATTTTCTCCTTTAAATTTTGATTTGTATGAAACCCCTTGTTAAGGATGAGAGATAAATGTCAGGATAAGAATGTATTGAAAAAAAAAAGAACTTGTAGAAAATGTCTTGGTTCTGATGTTAATAATGTTTCAATATTTTCAGATGGCTAGGTAATTCATTTAAAAATACATCCAATGGGGTTGAAAAATGGATAGAACAAGAAAGATGGAACAAAAAATAGAAAAGTAAAACTGTAACAGAATGAGAGCAGCAGTTGTACTCATACCTGCTCCAGAGTGGATTGACTGAAGCTGTATTCTTCCACATCATTGACTTCTTTGGCTGGAAGAATTAGCAAAAACCATCATTAACAATCTAAGGAGAAAATAATTTTCAGTGTAACCCAAAGACTCCCATTATTATTAATTGTTATATCTCAAAATAGCAGCAATGGGTAGGTCATCTGATATCTCTCAGTGTTTTGATCAGAAGGGTAATGGTCTACTTTCCCATTTATCAATTCTACCTATGCCTTCTCTTTATATGTATTATTAAGCATACAATTTAACCTGTTTGAAAAAAAGAAAGAAAAAAATGTAAAAACTCAGCTTACTTTATGCAACCAGTGTACAAAACTACAGTGTTCTCCAAAGTCTCACCTCTCTCCAGTGAAGCAAACACCTCAGCCAGTGACTTCACATCTTCCTGGGGGATCTTAAACTGAGCACGGTCTCCAAACAGCTCCAGTTCTTCAATGTCTGGAAACACCGTCTTCAGCTCATGTTTCAGGACAGCCCACTTCTGCTCCTGCTCTCCTGTGGTCAGCCCCTCTGCTCTTAACTTGATCTCCAGGACATAACCCTGGCCAAACTTCAGCTTAAGGTGCTGGCTGGCTCCCATGCACCTGCAAGCAAATACCTCAGACTGTGAAATTGCATGAATTTAAGGGATAACAACTGTTCATGATAATTCATGATTCATGATTAGTGGATAACAACTAATCATGAATTACAGGGATAACAACTGGTCATGAATTAAACTGATCATTTTGACCCAAAAATTGGATTTTCCTGGAGTAAACATCAATTTTCCCAGAGTTGTTATCCCCTCAATATACTGTCTAAATAACTCGAAATCCCTTTTTTACAACTGTATATTAAACACTGCAATATTAAGAAGTGTCATAATTTCATTAAAATTTAAACTTAAAAGTATTAATTTTTATATTCATATATCTTAGGACCAATGGTTTTGAAGTCCTTAAATCTATTTGTGGTAAGATATGTAGAAATGATTCTATGGTAATTTCATCCTTTTCACCTCAGTCTACAAGAATATGAATACAGAAAAACCTCTTTTCTGCATTAAAGAAAAACAGTGCAAGCAATGAACATGTTTTCTGCTTGAGACAAATAGAGAAAGCATTGAACTGTTTCTAATCGGCCAGGCAGACCTACTTGAATTCTCCTCCCACCATGATACCAATGCGTGTGCAGAGGGCGTCTGCCTCCTCCATGGCATGGGTGGTCAGAATGGCGCCCCTCTCTCCACTGCCATTGAACATATCTGTGATGGTATCCCTACAAATCCCAATTTACAGTTTTAAGTGTAGATAATTGCTCGACTTAGGCCTTTGTTGTCTAGTATTGCATAAACTGTTGTTTTATGTGGACATAGATAATAAACCATGGTTTCTAACAATGAAAAGCATAGTGCAGCTGTCAAAAGTCCATTTTTAAATTATTCACTTCATTTTTCTGAAAATGAGTGAATTGTTTAAGCTTCAATATTATAGCCTTTTATATAAAACAAGCTTAAAATAAACTTATTCAATGAAAAACAGTTAACCAGTTACTCAGTCTGCTCACTGAAAAATATCAGGCCTGCTGCAAATTCACAGCAAAATTGCTACAAAGTGCAATTCCTTCTTGCAAATTTGCTGCAATATGGCTGATAATTAGCAGCAACAATTTTTTTCTCATTAACTCCTGCAAAATCCTTGCTGCAATTTTGCTGCAAACTTTTCATTTCGCTTAGGGCTGTGCTATATGTGAAACACTCTTACCATAGGAACCTCTTGGAGGCAGGGTCCAGCCCAGTGGAAGGCTCATCCATCAGAACAATCTTTGGCTGTCCCAGCATGCTGATGATGAAGGAGAGCTGGAAGTCAAATCAACACAGGTTTTTAGATGGAATTAAATTGTTGAATAAAATAATGGTTTGTTTTTTGTACTAAGTGAATTTTCAAATAGTTCAATCTGTAAAATTAATTTTTATTTTAAATTTTCATGGTAACATTTACTTTTTCTTTGTTCTTCCGTTTCTTTTTGATTTCACTGGCTCATGGCAATAACTCGAACAGCTACCTGTCAAATTTTGAGTGTTACAAAATCTTAATGAGTTTGGCATCAAGAAAAATAAAATGAACTCATTAAAAAAACAATCAACCTCAAACTCATTTAATGCTACTGTGTAAAAAAATTAAAAATAAGTGCAACTTGACAGTCTAAGACTGCATTCAGAACAGCACACTAACAGATCCGCAGACCAAATATGGCTGACCCATTTTATAATTAATGTTTGTAGTGTAATCCCCGTGGGAAATCTTGTGTCTAATCAGGAATTAAGCGACAAGCTTTTATTGGGTCTCCATATTTGATTCACGGATCTGTCAGTCTGCTGTCCTGATTGCACTCTATGACAAACAACAATCCCAATGTCTACATACCTTGCGTTTTGTCCCTCCAGACAATTTATTACTTCTCTTGTTAGCATGTTCTGTGATCTGGAGAGCCTCCATGAAACTAGAACAAACACATTACTCAGGTCACTTTCACAACTCAGACTAGAGATACTTCACAGTAAGGACTTAATTAGACCAGAAATATACTAATCATCATTAAATGAACAATACGAAAACCCAAATAGCTAATTCAAACTGCCTGTAATATTTACTAGCAAAATGACAGAAATAAGACTGTAGCCAAATTGCTGTATTTTTATATCTGTTACGCTACTTAAAATCTAAAATAATTACTGTTCTTCTTACTAATCCACAATCTTGGTAATATCCTTCTTTGCCAGCCCTCTGATGGTAGCAAACACCTCAATATGGTCCCTGAGTGTCAGGTAATCCCACAGAGCATCGTGCTGTGGACACAACCCCACATAGCGGAAGGCTTCAGAGATGTTGGATGTTATGTCATAACCTGCCACAGTCACCTGGAATCAAAGGAATATCAATAAAAATAAATATAAATATGTGTTAGTTTACCTCAGTAAGAGCATTTAAAAGCATAATATACTGGAGGCAATTATAGATGTTTTATATTAAATCACTGCCATAAATTAACCTGGCATAGTATGGTAGTCAGCCTGAAAGCAGCATGAAAGTTTGCTGAAAATAACCAAGATATGCCAAGCAAACAATAGGTTGACCTTCATAAAAAGGGCAAAAACAAGAAGATATCAAGGTTCCACATATCTACATATAAAAGCCATTCCTGATTTTCACTGGCAATTTAAACATAGACACCAAATGAAAGTATTTCACTCAAGTCCAAGTTTCAAAATTCAAAACCAATGCAGTCAGTCAAATTTTTTTTAAATCACGGTGACCCTACCTTTCCTCTAGTGGGAGCATACTCAGCTGTGATGCAGTTAATAGTGGTTGACTTCCCAGCCCCATTGTGTCCCAGCAAACCAAACACTTCTCCTGGCTGGACCGCAAAACACAGGTTGCGCACAATGACCTTGACCTTGGAAGCACCGATGCCACAGCATCCTTGACCAGTTCTTTTATCAAATTCCTTCCTGAGGTTTTTTACAACCAGCACTGGGGCATCCTGCATTACAAATATCTTTATGTATTGTATTGGAGGAAATGGATACAAAGATATGGCCCAACCTGTACATTCTAAAAAATATCTTTTCTTTAATCTCTCTCTTTCTCTCTCTCCTAACACTAGTAACTACAAAATTGCAGTGTTACAGAGATTTCCATTAATTAAGTCATTTCCAATAATTCGAAAATTTCATCTTGAATTGACTAATGTGGTGATTTTCATGTACACTTGAAGCAGGGGATATGTCAAACGTGAAAACCACACCCTTTCTATGGGCGGCTGTTTATACAAAAATTCAAAACATGAGTAGTCGTCGTCGTTACACGAGTAGTCGTCGTCGTTATCAGATCAGTCGAATTGAAAACACGATTAGTCGTCGTCCTTATCAGATCAGTCGAATTGAAAACACGAGTAGTCGTCGTCGTTATCAGATCAGACGGCAAAATACGACTAGTAGTTGTCAAAACGCAACTAGTAGAAGCCAAAACTCGATTTGACGCTAGATGGCATTTAAGTCAATGGTCATGGCTACCCTTGTGCCGACTTCACAGTCAATACTGCGAAAATCTGACACTGACAATTAAGTGCTTAATTTGTGATTGACATATTGAGGAGAGTTGACAGATGTTGTACTATAGTAGGCTAGTATGTGACAGATACAGTACGAGTCGCAGAGCTGTACGTGAAATAAATACAGGGGTACGAGTGTATTGTCGAGCCGCAGGCGAGTGTTGTATCTGGCTTAAACCACGGCCTCTGGCTACTACACTGCCCTTGCGATATTTTACTCATACATGTTAGGGGCCCTTGTGGTCACTAAGTCCTGTGTTGGACGTCCCAGACCCCCCCCCCCAGCTCCCCTCAACCTAAGTGTTAACACCTGCGCCTACCCCGGTGTAACAGTTGTATTAGTGTGATCATATGTGTGGAATTTCATGTCAAATGGACATATAAAGATCTAAAAATTCGTCACAATATTTAAAAAAATCCAGGATTATTTGAATTGGGGGGAGGGGGGGGCGGCGGGACGATGTGAAGCAGATCGTCGCCCACTGGTGTGGAGTTTGGGGCCTGCTCAAGGGCCCCGAAAATTTTTGGTGTTTAAAGAGCAAACAGTGCCTTTGGTACGGTTATAAGAACTATGATTTATTTAGCTAGTCAAAATTCTAATTTTAAGAGGGGAATATTGGCGTGATATATTTTTCAGAAACCGA